TGTTATGTTCTCCTCCAAGTAGCTGGTGCTCCATATGCTACTTAAGTAGAAATATTTATGATTGTCACTTAATTAAATTTCTCCAAGTAGCTAGTGCTCCACATTTTTTTTTATAATTTATTTGATCTTAAAAATTTTCTTTAGTTTTTTATTTATAGGTGGTTTGGCATGAGGCAAATTTTACATTTGACTATGTGATGTTGGAGGCTACCATTCTTTAATGGATATATTCTGTCAAGATCGATGACTACCGAGACGTATTACTGACTTTTGACGTGACAGAATACCACAACCGAATCCTGCTGATGCACTCTTCAATAGTTCTTCACTTTTGTTGCCTAGGATTCAGAATCTTGAAGATGATGACAAGTGGTCTAAAGAGAACTTCCTAGGCAGAGAAAGAAAACAGTTTCTTAAGGCTTGCTGGCCCAGAGGATTGAGGATTGCCTTGTTTCAATCCTCTACATATGTTGCATTTTTTAGTAATTTGAATGGTCTTAAATATTACATCAATTGACTCATGAAACATTATTTTTTAATTACTTATTCCAATTGAGCCATTCATTATGGTAGAACTTGTTTCAAATACTAAACTGATGGACAATAATTAACATTTCCTTGAATTTGTCTCAATATTTTCTAACATGCAACTCTTGTTTGTTCAATCATAATGATGGTTAAGTCGATGATTAAATTTCATAGAATCTCATCTCTAGTATTAAGATAAACGATAATTTGAGGATGCTGGCGAGTCTAAAAATTGTGCGGGAGAAAATTAGAGAGGAAAAACACAGACAAACAACAATTCAAAGATGCCGATAACTCAAAAATTAGCATGGGAAAGAGAATAATAAAACACAAACAATAAGAGAAGTTTATCTCATTTTTCCATTATTTTTTATATCATCAAATGTGGTATTTATAGATGTATACAGATTATTAATTTATTATTAACTAACAGGGCTATTCTTATTAATCTAATACAACAACCCCCCATCTCATAGCATCATATGCTAAATGAATCCAAATGTCTTACCTACCACCTTCGTCTAAGCTTAAAAAAATTAGTAAGTCTTTCAAGGGCTAACTCTTAGTGATTTTCCTTGATGTGTTACTGAATCCGAATCCGGTTATAACATTTTTTTTCATCCTCCGATTCAATTTTGATATAAATGCAGGAACATTATAATTTACAGAAATTGCACCCTTTTCGTTCATTTTTCAAATTCTCAACCAAATATCAAAATTCATCATAAAATCTCGACTCAAAATTTTTCATTTTAGTCAAATTTCTAATAGTTTGATCTTGGCACACGTAAATGCATCACTTTTGTTGTTTAAAAGAATGATGTGAGTGTTAACATTGTAAATAGCGATGTTTCAAGTGCTAATTATATAATTATCCCAAAATGTGAAGAACAAAATGGAGCTGTTGTTTAGGAAAAATTATTGCATACATACACCGCATGTAGAGATGCATGCGGTGTCCAATTCTGACCGTAGATCACGGTGATCTACGGTCAGGATGTATATCGGTAGGCTCCATTTTAAAATTTTGAGAGCTTCCTGACCGTAGATCACCGTGATCTATACGGTCAGGATTGGACACCTCATGCATCTCTGCATGCGGTGTATGTATGTAATAATTTTTCATTGTTAAGGCCTTCAATTGCACATTTTTACGTTTGACGACTCATGAATTAGGAAAAGTTAGGCAGAGAATGTTGCTTCTCAAAAAAAAAAATAATAATAATAATATATATATAGTCATTTTAAAGTAATGTAAGTATGAAACTCATAATGCTGAAATATTTGACACCATAATTATCATATATAAATAATTAATTGATGCAACATCTTTGTTATACAAATATATAATATATCAGTATAATATCTTGTATTGATAATCATGACTCAAAATTTTATTTTTTATGATATGAGAGTTGATATCATGGGCAAATTGATTTCTTGGGAGAGCTGATCTCCTAAAAAAATTGATTTGCTCCTAGGAGGGTTGATTTCTTAGGATATTAATGTGTGAGTTGATCTATTAGGAGAGTTGATCTTCTAGGAGAATTGTTCTCCTGAGTAAAATGATCAATTGGGAGAGTTGATCTTCTTGGAAAAATTTATCGCTTCGAAAAATTGATCTCTTGAGAGAGCTAATCTCCTGAGAGTATTAATCAATATTATAGTCAAATTGATCTCATGAGAGACTTGATCCCATCGAAGAATATCTCTAATTAGTGATTTGCTCTTTCCTTGTTTTGCTTTACTATTATCATTATTATTATTTTGAAAAAAACATAAAACGGTGATGAAGGTATATTAGCAATAAAAATTCTCTAATTTAGCTCATGATATCGACCACATTGCTAAGCTAACGACAGAGGCTTTTATCTCATGCTATATAAATAATCAAGCTACAAGTCCATTTACTAATTAACATTTCAAATATGCAAGAGAATCAAACAACTAAATATGTATGTTGAAAGCTCTTAAACAAGCAACAATATTTGAAGTGTGAAGCTAGGCAACTTGGCCATATTAACTCTCCAAGGAGAACAACCCTCTAAAAAAATAATTTGATTAAAGAGACAAGTTATTCTAAGAAATCAACTCTCTTAATAAATTAATTATCTCAAAATATCATCTCTTCCGGAATATCAATTCACCCAAGAGATCAAAGATCTCTGGAGGTCAATTTGAACAGAAGATCAACTCTCACAAAAAAATTAACTCATCCAGGATATCAACTTTTCTAAGAAATTAGTTCGCTAAGGTTATCAAATTTACATACCTACCACCCAATTCTTTTGTATTCTCATATTAATCATCTAAATTATTATTTTAATCTACATAACACCCAACCTATACTGAAAACATGGGAATTTGGTGGTCTATACGTAAAAATTAAAGTTTGAATGGTTGATATGTTAATACATAAAAATTGAGCATTGTACACACAAGAATGTGCCCACGCGAACCTCAAAGCAGATGGGCTGCCCGGGAAGTAAGTACAACTGATCAGACGTAGCAATGGACGATAGTTTTCACATTACTAGCGACGAAGAAAATATTTCACACGAATGATAGACAAAAGATGACAAAAGGAAGCCCCTCTGGACGGTAGTCAGCTTTCAGAACGATCGATGGGGAACACTCCTTCAAACCATGAATCGATCGAACTAAGGCCTGTCAGACGATCGACGACTCTTATCGATTGAATATATCCCAGTCTTTATTATATACAAACAACCTTGTAAATTACCAAAAAAGCCCCCCTGATAGGTTAATGATTATGAGGCTAATATGTATTTTTGTAATATTAACACCTAGACCTATAAATAGGGGTTCATATTATGAATAAATGATATCTTTTGCTGGTCTACTATTGCTCTTTCACTCTCTCTTCTTTTCTTTCTCTTAAATTACTTCATAATAGAACATTCCATTCTTTTGGCCGTGCTTCTCGGATATTTTTGATCAAACATCCTTTAATGTACGGTGAGCATAAAAACATTTCAACAACAAGAAGAGGAACCCAAAAATAACAATGGGGAGGGTTTAGCTAGAGGAGCGAAGAAGAAGTAGCATGCACCCAAAAGTTCATGGAAGAATTTGTACATTAAGGATTGCTAGACTCGAATACCCAGATTACGAACAAGATTTTAGGACAGTTTGCAGAGGTCCTTAAAGTGGTCACTACCCAGATCCAGTTGGAGAGCCAACAAGGCAAGAAACTTATAATCCCCCCTCAAGGAGAACTGTCGGTCAACAATGGAAAGAGGGGGATAAACCAACAGAAAAAGCCCGATGACGAACTGTACCATGATAGTTCTAGATCTGCCCCTGTGGAGAAAAGAACCAACCGATGCAGATTGAGACACAAAGACAACCATTGAATGTTTTCTCCCTACAAGTCTCTAGAGTTGAACCCCAAAGAAGTTCAAGATGTCAGTCTTGGAAAAAAACAAAGGATGATCGTACTTCAACAATTACCTTGTGTCGTTCAAGTCATCCATATGCCTCCTAAAAATTTCTGACGCCCTCAAGTGCAAGTTGTTCTCAACAACACTAAGATCGATAGCTTTGAGGTGGTTCGACGGATTGCTCGCAGGAGTAATCACCTATTTCATAGAGCTTAGGAAACTTTTCCTCAATTTTTGGTTGAGCTGATTGAGGTCAAATTATTAAAACTCGAGTTGAGTTCTTATAGGTTTGAAAATGCCTCAAGGAACCCTTTCAAGCTTAGAGACTTGACTTTCTAGTTTAAGTGCCTTTCGACCTTATAGGACCCTCTTAATTAGACTTCATGTTTGCTCTTAATTCACGCCTTTGGCTCATAATGAGCCCTAACATGTTTGAAGTTCGTCTCAAAACACGATCGAGTTTAAATTGAAAATAAAATGAGAAATTAATTATTTGAAATAAAAAAATCTAATTAATATTCAAATTAAACACATGAATCAATAATCAATGAATTTTAAATTCAAATCAAAATTAATATTAAAAATAATCATATCATATAATCCTAATTAAATTTATTAACTAAATATAAATAAAATTAAATCCCTGACAAACTTGTAATTAAATAAGAATAATCAAAATAATAATGATAAAAGAGTTTTAAGTTTTGAAAAATAAAAGAAAAAACAATCCCGAATAAAAATTTGAACAAGTTTAATCAATGCAGACAAAATATTTAAATATATAATTGAAGTTACAAATAAAATAAATTTGAAATATAAATAATACAAATGTTACACTCACTTGAAATTGAATAAAGCAATATGCTAAATCAATCAACATGAATTTCAAATAAAATTGAAATAAAATAATACATAATAATAAATGAATCCGACTTAATAAAAAAAATAGAATAATAAAATTTAAGTTAATAATTATTTATATAATTAATTAGATAATTAATTAAAAAATTTTCCCTGGCTATAAATAGCCTCCTTAAGCCTTAGCCCTCTGTTTTTGCATTCCGCCTCCTCCATTTGATCGCAAGAAAGCCGATGCCTGGTTGGGAATCCCGAATCCATTCGGCTCACCACCTCTTCCTCTTCTTCGCGAAAGCTCTTCTGCTCTTGCCTCTCGAAATCACACGTAAGCTTCTTTCTCCTCCGATCTTTTTGAGCCGAGGAGCTTCTTCCTCCTTTAATCGCAAGCCGTGAAGATTGTAAGGATCTTTCCCTTCTTCGACTATTCGGTTTTAATGTGCATTGCTGCTTTCAATGCCAATCTCATCATACTCCTTAGCGAGATTACTTGCAGCCAAAGCACCTTAGTGAGATCTTCGAGATTTAATTTTTGAATTTTTGATCTCCCAGCAATTGGCTGAGATTTTTTAATTTTTGATCTTATTTTTTAATCCCGTGCGGCAGCAATACACCTTAGTGAGAAAGATATTTACTACGCCATATCACACAGAATTGTGTGCGTATAATGATTATTCGGGGGTACTAGAGCGTTATGCTAATTTATTGAGGTTAATAAGCTCAACAACCCACAAAACCGTGGACTGAGAAAAAAAATGAGTGCCGAACCTCAGAATGATTTGATAGATTATTGAAATGTTATGGGGGTTAACACCCCAATAACATCACAATAACACCGGTCATATGCACTCAGAACTGTTTGCATATGAGGTACGTAAATAGCGAGGTTATGATAGGAGTAGTGAAATTGCTCTAGACCTAAGTGATGGATCGGTCTTTCATTGGATATGAAATAATAATGGCAATTAGCAAATGCGCGAGGATGGAATGAGTTGGGAAAACTAATGTTACGATTTACGATCAGATAATTTTCAGGACTCAATAACAAAGCAGAGCCCCCTAAAGAATTACAACATTCGGTTTTATAAAATAAGGCAACAAAAAGAGTTGGTTGAATGGTTTAAATCAATTTAACGTTTCCTCCACTCATACCCAACGATCTTCAAGCACGACCTCACGTTCTTCCGGGCCGTTATTTTATATGCCATTTACATAAATACCATACAATTTTTATATATTTACATATCTAACATTCATACTTTCATATTCACAAACATAACGGCCAAATCTTTAAAATTACATAAAAAAACATCGCTATTCCTATCTCTTTATTTAAAATTTTAATTCCAAGTTGTAATAAATAAAAATATCAAATGTTAGGGGTTACTGTGTAAATTCATAAAAATCGCGTGCTTTATATGTAAAATTCCTTTTTTTTGTTTTAATATTTTTTTTCCCGTCAACAGCGCCATGATTCCATCCTTCTTCTTCTCCACCCAGCACCAGTCTCCCGCGCTTCTTGCTCTCCACGGTGCAGCATTTCAGTCTTCGACACATTGATTTTCTTACAGAATCTCTCTTCCAGGTACGCCATTGATCAAAAGGTTTCAAATCATGGAGATAATAGATCATCACCCTTCATTAATGGTTTCTGATTGCGATTTATTAAAGCCTGTGTGAATGTCCAGATTGCTGAACACCAAGGGTTTTTGTTTCCCTAATGTGTTTAGTTATAGTATAATTTGAATAATGTCTGAAACATCTGATTATATTGAATTATATTGTCCATCTGGGACATTTCTCAAATTTGCATCATGTACTTATTTCTTGGCATGGGGGTAGTTTTATTGCATTTTTTGTTTTGTTATTTCGTTGTTTATTATTATTTTTGCCAAGAATCGACCCGAGGACTAATAATTTCAAAGATGTAAATAGATGGTCGGATTATAAAACTTGATCTAATGCTAATTGCTATTAATAACAATTAAAAGTATAAATAACCTGAAGAGCCACCGATGATTTAAATTTTAATTCAACCCATTAAGAAAATAATTGTGAATTAAATTATATTTCTCTCACTTGATTCTTGGTTGTGTTTTTCATCTTCATTTTTCTTTATACTCTCCATTATATTGAGATGAAGGATTATATTTTTAATACATAATAAAATTATGAGCCTCATGTTTGACATCTTCTCCATCATATAGAAAAGATGCGAGAGCTTACTTGATTCCATAAGATCAGGCTACAAGATCTATCCCTTTCATATTTTGTGAATCTCCTCTTGTCATGTGGAGGAGAGGTTTTGGTTTTTCCACATCTCTTGACTCTCCTTATATTGAATCGAGGAGAAATTTCATTTTGACTTATCCTCACATTGTATTGAGAAGAATTTATAACTTGATGCGTGCTAGAAAATTTGCGGCGGTAGAATAATGGATTATCATCTTAGCATTGCACGAGAATGCAACACACACAGATAAAAGAAGAAAAGTAAGCAAATTGAGACGCCTCAACTTTTTACGTGGAAAACCATTGAAAGAGGGAAAAATCACGAGACCTAGCCCAGTTGAAATAATTTATTATGAATGATGAGTACACAGGTTCATTCTTCACCTAAATTAGGGAATATGAAATTACGATGAAATTACAAAGTTATATAAACTATAATCTGACTGCATTTCTCGGTGACAACATGTTGCAAGGGTCATTGTTGATTGTTGTGGAGATACTAGTCTGTCATGAGTATTGTAGATGGTTGCTCTAGAAACGTTGATTGGTTAGAGAAACCGTAGCAAGTAGTTGCGCGAGCTGTGGTCCACATAGACCGTTGTAACAAGTATGAATGATGTACGTAGGCCGTGGGGGTCGGAGTTGAAAGTTGCATGAGCTGTGAACCACGTAGGCCATAGGGGCGAGTATGAATGAAGTCCGTAAACTGTGAGGGCCAGAGTCGTGAGCTACAAGAGCTGATGACCACGTAGGTCGTTAAAGCGAGTATGAATGACGTCCGTAGGCTGCTGGGGCCAAAGTCGTGAGCTGCATGAGTTGATGACCACATAGGTTGTTAGAGCGAGTATGAATGACATCCGTAGGCTGCTGGAGCTGGAGTTAAGAGCTGCATGAACTGATGCCCACATAGGTCATTGTTGACACATGGATCGTCATGACGAGCTCTTGTCCCATACACTGGAAATAGTTACTAGATTTTTCAAGTTATAACTTGAATGAAGGTGTTTGATTGGTGGTGATCGACGATGACCGACACTGGTGGATGACGGTCAGCGAGGATCGGCGGCGGTCAACAGTGATTGACGGTTGTCAACGAGGGTCTTATTAAGAAATTATGGTCTCAAAAGATAGTCTTGAACTAATTGCGTCCCCGCGACGCCCAACTGCAACGCGTTTCCACGACTTTCTGCCGCACACATCGCCCCAATGTACCGCCGCAACACGTCGCGTCGCCCCAATGCCCCACCGCGACTCACAGACACAACACATCTCGTCGCCGCGACGCCCCGCCGCAACACTTTGCGTCTCCGCAAAGCCTAGCCGCATCGCGTCACTGAGATGCACCGCCCGATAAGCCGCCACGAGACCCCACTGTAACACGTCGCTGTGACGCTTCGCCCAACTAGCCGCTGCGACGCCCCGACGCAACGTGTCGCCGTGACTCTACCACACATCTCTCCCTCATCCCTCTCCTTTAGGTCTATTTATAGGCTCAAAAGGACTTGGGCCATTAAATATTTACTATTACATAAATTTAAAAAGAAGAGCAAATATTAAATGCTCATTAAAAAAATACATTCTATATTCCCATAAGAAAAACAGAGAAATTTAATTTTGTGTAAACTTAAAGACGTTTCTCATTCTTACTGTTCCCAAAGTCCATTTTTTATTTATTTTCAATTCTGTTAGCTACCAATTCTTTTTGGCCAAAACGGGAATTTGAAGCAATGCTCCACCAGCTCAGTTATCCGTTTGAATGCATATGCAATATATATATATATATCTTCATTACATCAAAAATATCATAAAAAATGCTCTAGATCTTGATAATTTCGGACTATAAAAAAGATCTCGCTCTAAAATAAGGGGGCAACCGATACGACAAAAATAATTTTTCATCATCTGGAATGAATCTCGATGCAATCTTTTGAACATTAAACATTCAAAACTCAATTAAAAGTCATCCAAAGCTTTGATTTCAACAAACTTATAATCAAACTAGCCGGTTTAATAAGACAGACCTAATGATATCAAAGTTAGTCAAATCCGAGTCAAATCAAACCCATATCAAATCATTAAACCACTTTTGGATAATCTCTGGACATATTTAGAAGATCAAACAGATATCGAAGCTGGTAAATTTAAAATCAAATAAAACGTTTCGACAAGACGAATCCAACAAGCCCAATAACACTCAATTCTGACATCATTAAGGCATCCAATTGTCCATTAAACACCTTCTGATTAAAGGAAGCTATCTGGACCGTTCAATCAAAATGATTCATATTCTTGCATTAATTGCACCCAAAACAATATAAATAGACCCCCGCCCTCACGTAAGTGGGAGCTGAAGCCTATAGATAGGGTCTGAGGCCTTGAGGAGGAGCTGCAACTCAACATCATCGCCGACTAACGTCGATTACCGTTGACCGTCGTCGACCACCACCAATCAAACACCGTCATTCTAGTTATAACTTAAAAAATTTAGTAACTATTTCCTGTTTGTGGGACATGAGTTCCAAAAATGACCTACGTGGTCATCAGTTCATGCAGCTCTGACCCGGCCCAGCAACCTACATACATCATTCATACTTGCTCTAACAACTTGGGTAGTCATCAGCTCGTGTAGCTCACGAATCTGGCCCCGGCAGCCTACGGACGTCATTCATACTGGCTCGAACGACCTACGTGGTCATCGGCTCATGCAGCTCACGACTCCAACCCCCACAGTTTACGGACTTCATTCATTCTCGCCCCTATGACCTACGTGGTTCAAAACTCATGAAACTTTCGACTCCGCCCCCCACGACCTACGTATGTCATTCATACTCGTCACTACCGCTTATGTGGTCCACAACTCGCACAATTACTTACTACGGTTTCTCTGGTCAATCAAAGCTTCTGGAGCAACCATCTACAATACTCATGACAGACTAGTACATCCACAACAATCAACAATGAACCTTGCAACCTACTGCCACCAAAAAATGCAGTCAGATTATACTTATACAACTTTGTAATTTCATCTTCCCTAATTTAGGAGAAGAATATGCATGTGTACTCATCATTCATAGTAGATTATTTCAATTGGGCTAGGCCTCCTGGTTTTTCCCTCTTTTAAGTGTTTTCCACATAAAAAGTCGAGGTGTCTCATTTTGCTTACTTTTCTTCTTTTATATGTGTGTGTTGAATTCTCGTGCAACGCTAAGATGATAATCCATGACTCTACCGCCCCAAATTTTCTAGCACGCATTATATCTATTGATTCTTCTCTCGCTAAACTGAGGAGAATCATTATTTTTTGGATATTTTTTCTCATAATATTGAGGAGAGTTATCATTTTCGGATTCCCTTTACATTATATTTACATGAGTCGATATTCCTTTTAATTTTCCATCACATTATATTGTGGAAAATTATCCTTGAATTTTCCCCGCCTTAGATTGAGAATAATTTAATTTTGGATCACCCCTCACATCATATTAAGAAGAGTTGTCATCACTTGATTTTTCTCAAATTATATTGGATAGAATATTTAACTGTATCTTTCTTTACATTAAGTAAATTTACATTTCTTGTTGGCCTCTTATACCATATTGAGGAAAATCATCAATTCTAGATTTTTCCTACACTGTATTGAAGAGAATTATATTTTTTGGACTTCTCCTCATACTGTATTGAGAGTTTCTATTTCTCATTTATTTTTTCTTCTTACTCTATATTGAAAAGAATTTTCTTTTGAGTCTCCATCATATCATATTAACGAAAATTATCATCTTTATGTTCTCCTCACTTTATATCGAGAAGAATCATCATTTTAGATTTTCGCACAATCTATATTGAGTACGTTTCACATCTTTTGATTTTCTTCTTACTATATTGAGGAGAATATTTATCTGAAATTCTCTTCACACTACATTAAGAAATGCTCACTTCTCTCATTTTTTTCTTTACATTATTGTGATAAGAATCGTCATATCTTTTTTTTTTTCTGTTTTTTCATATTATATTTAAGAGACATTTTGGGCATCTTGATTATATATGATTAAGCTATAAGTCCCAATCATACATCAAATATTTCTTATCTTTAAGCCTTAAAGCCATAGATAGCTTTGTTAGCTTTAGCATGCATCATCATATGGGAGTGGGGTATAATTATACTTGTCAGCCGAACACAAGGCCCGTACCTTTTATTTGCTAGATCCCCTTGAATAAAACGACCCATAGATGCTAACAGAAATTCTTTGCCTGCCTCCTGATTAAGTAGACTTAAGGGCGTTCAAGTGAGGTGATTACGGATTAATTACAGATTAATTCCAATAGTTTTCACATTATTTATCTTTGATTTGTAATTTTGATCATTACAATAAACTAGGGTGCATGAAGCTAGGGCTTTTTAGCATTGTTCAAGTTGAATGATTTTCTTGAAGCAAAATGAAATTTGATAGTTCTAGTTTTTTGGACCTGATAAATTTTTGTTTAATTCTCTTTAATATTTCACACAGAAAGTAAATGAAATTTCCAATTTACTACAATGATTTCTATCAAGAAGTAGTCAAATGAACCCTGATGTTTGTTTTGGAACTCTTGGTGAATGGATGAACGTTAAAATAATCATAATAATAAAGAATGAAAGATCCTTGTATTATTAAAACAAAAAATTTCTGAACTTGAATTTTTTTTCCTTTTCCTTCCTTTTCTGTCAACCTTTTTGCTTTAGCAGAATGATGGAGGAATTTGAGGGTTGATTTTTTTTATGTTTGGAGGATTGTTTTATTTGGTTTTAAGTTGATTTGAGACTGAAATGATATATATATATATATATATATATATAGTATTACAGGTTGATTTTTACTTCTACTTTATCTTATATGAATATTTCAACACTTTGCTCTTGTCATATATATTCAATATTTCAGTAATGATTTGAGTTGATCAAGACTATAGAAATGAACCAAAGTTTGCTTGGTGATTTTGTTGAATAGTGTGATGAATGCTGAAGTATTAGAACAGTTCGCCTGATCTATTTCCAAAAAGGGGGATTTTAACTTCAATCTTTGGGTGACTCTGCTCCTTCAACCTTCACAATGTGGTGCTGTGGAGGGGCAGAAGAGGAGAGCTTTGGTCCACCAGCTAACCAGTATACAGCTCCGCCTAACCGTCCAACTCCTGGTAACTGACTCATGTTGTAATGCTGTAATTTTTTTTTTTTAGTGATGTTTTTTTTTGCGATATGAATCTTATCTTGACTTATTTAAAATTTTTTGGATACCTTTTTATTTTTTATTTTTTATTTCCTAACCTTGTTTTTTTTGAGGAAGTTAGAGCAAGAATTTTTACAAGGTAATTGTGTTGTTAATCTTATGAATAAAATGCCACAACAAGCCAAATCTGTTGATTTTGTTGACTTTTGGTGTGATGAATTTTGATAATTTTTTTAAGCTTTAAGGTGGTGTTTGACTGCAACCTGAATTTATGTTAAATGAGATTTATCAAATCTAGAAACTGCGATATTATGTGCGACTTAGAGGAGCTCACAAGCGAAGAAGACGGAAGAAATTCTTAATTCCGCCTCATAATTGAATTTAGTAAATTTGGATTGACGTCGTAAAAGTGAAAAAATGCAGGAAGAATAGACGGAACACGAAAAAATTTGATTTAATAGAGCGTTAGATTTAAATTTTTATTTTTTTATGTGCAGTTGGATTTATGGTAAATTCATGCTATATCCTATTTAAATTATGCTACAAAACACCACCTTTTTGTTTTTTGGAATGTTTTCAAGGTGAATGGTTGTGGATTTTGTGTCTGAAAAAATTTGGTGGGAGTATAAAATTCTGAGAAGACATGCATTGATTATTTGTGATGCTGTAACGGAGTTGCATAAGTTATAGATCTTGATGCAGCACTCACCAGGAATAATGGAGAATAAAAATTCATAATATCAACTCAAAATAGTTGAAATAAGGCTTATGTAGTAATGATAATATTAGTTCAGCTAGTTTTAAGATATGTTATCAGTCTGATTGAAAAAAGGTCCTTGCTATACGTTTTGCATTTTAGGCCACGATAGGGAACCAAGAGGCCCCAATAATCCCAGGAGGGGAGCTCCGCAAGAGGCCCTTCCTATTGATTTACCTGCAATATCTTTGGCAGAGCTGAAGAAATTAACCGGCGACTTTGGACAGAAAGCTCTTCTTGGTGAAGGTTCTTATGGAAAGGTCTTCTTGGCCACTTTAAGCGGAGAACGTGTTGCAATAAAGAAGTTAGATCCTAGCGCATCTCAAGAGAGCGATTCAGAATTTGCTTCTCAGGTGTGTTGTTTATCTTTCCGTCATGAACTGTAATAAGAGCAAGAAAAGAGACTCATAAAATGCTTTCCTGCCGTATTAATGTGGTTTTGTAGCAGTTTTGTTTCTTTCAATTCTCGTTCTTTCTTTGCTTCAACTTATCGCTCTGTTTCAACATATAATGTACCATTTAAGCCTGTGAAACTGTAAGAGGGCCCAATTTTAATGTTCTTCTGGTGGTAATTGATGCAGTTAGCAATGGTTTCAAGATTGAAGCATGAATACTTTGTCCAGTTGTTGGGATACTGTCTGGAGGCCAATAATCGAATACTTATCTATCAGTACGCAACAAAAGGATCCTTGCATGATGTATTACATGGTATACAATACCACTTTCTATTTTCTTCTAAGATACTTCGTATTATATAGTATGTCATAGTCAGTAATGGAATTAGAATTTGAGGGAGGGTGAAATGACTTGAATTCAAATTTTCTGTCATAGTTGCAGGAGAATTTAATGGTAAAAGTTTCATATTATAAATGGCTACATAAGAATTGTCTCGAATTTTGAGGGAACTATGGCCACCATTGCCTATAATCTTATTTCTTTAAGTCAAACGTTATTTGTGCTTTCATTTTCAGGAAGGAAAGGGGTGCAAGATGCGGAACCTGGTCCTGTATTGAGCTGGACGCAGCGAGTGAAAATTGCTTATGGTGCAGCTAGAGGTCTTGAATATCTCCATGAAAAAGTCCAGCCTTCTATAGTCCACCGGGACGTCAGGTCCAGCAACGTGCTTCTCTTTGATGGCTTTGAATCGAAATTGGCCGATTTCAGTTTAACGAACCAGTCTCCTGATTCTGCTGCTCGTTTGCATTCGACTCGTGTTCTAGGGACTTTTGGCTACCATGCTCCAGAGTAAGCTTTCTACAAGCTTTTCATTGCTCAGCATTATATGTTTCAGGCTGGCTGCAGCATTTTTTAATGGTGGTTGTAAAGTTGTGGTGAATAAATTTTATTTTTTAAAGACTACGATATGAATTATAAATATTTACTTTTTTCCAAAAAGTCACACAACTTTCTTACAACCACCAGATTTTACAGATCGGGTTGCACTAACAGTTTTTTTATCATAAATATTTCTGCAAAACACCATGAAACCAGTTTCTCAATTAGAAATGTGGTGGCTGTCTGAAATATAAAACAGAGACACAGAAGAGTGATGTGTATATTTTTCATCTTTAATCATCCTCTTTTGTTACAAAAGTATACCTGATACTTATATGTTCTTTTACATATATCATACAGGTATGCAATGACAGGGCAGCTGACGCAGAAGAGTGATGTGTATAGTTTTGGTGTTGTCCTCTTAGAGCTTTTGACAGGAAGAAAGCCAGTAGACCATACTATGCCAAAAGGGCAGCAGAGTCTTGTAACCTGGGTAGGTTCTCTCATACTTTGGTGCTGCAATATTACTATAAGCTGATTTCCATTCCTCAACGCTGTAGGCAACTCCGCGGCTGAGTGAAGACAAAGTTAAACAGTGTGTAGATCTTAAGCTGAACAATGATTATCCACCAAAGGCTGTTGCCAAGGTATGCGCATTTGTTTTTTATACTAGTTATTCTTTTGTGGCCCTGAAGAAACTAAATCAAATTCAGGTTTTGGGTGTATATTATGTATATGTATATATATATATATATGTTCATATCTACCTACGTATGTACCTATGTATGTAGTATATATGTATGTTGATATGTACATATATATGTACGTATGTATGTATGTGGATATGTTCATATAAATATGTATATAGATATGTACACACACATATACATACATACATACAAAAATGAGGAATATCAGTTGCTTTCACTATGATAAATAGGAAAAAAAACAGTGATAGAAGAAGCTTTTGTACTGACATCTCTGAAATATTTGTTGATCGTCCAGTTGGCAGCAGTTGCAGCGCTGTGCGTTCAATATGAAGCTGATTTCAGACCCAATATGACAATAGTTGTTAAAGCTCTTCAACCTCTTCTCAACACAAGAGCTGGTCTAGAAAGCAATGCTTGATCCCAAGGACATTTTTTTTTTAATTTCTATTAATTGTTTTGAATTGATCAGGATTGAATCCTCTTCCTGTTACTGATATCATTTCTTTGTTAAAACCCATTGTTTGCATTTTTTTGGTTAAATTATTGTATAATATAGAATTGATGAATTGTTAAGACCCAATATGTCATAAGTTTATTTTGTCATTTTTTTGTTTTTTGTTATTTTGTAGAGTATGCACAGGTGAGTATCTGTATTGTAATTTTTATTATTTAGTAAATGTTTGTTAAATTAAGCATCACATTTCAAATATGGTGTTACATTATATGCTAAAAGCAAGTTTAGTATGCTGTTTTAAAACTAGACTGCATTCCATGTTGTTGTGCCCTGGAAAGATAATGGATGTTTCCAATCTTAGAAGCTAAATCTTGGGTTGAAACTAAGGTTAAGGATCATGGTCTCCTTCTATCATAGTTAAGTTTAGAGGTGGTTGACTCTACTTAGGGGTGTAAACGAGTTGAACCAAGCTCAAGTCATGCCTAACTCGGGCTCGGCTTTTGGTACTAACAGGAGGCTTTTGGTACTAGCTGTAATACACCGGTTGGGTAGGTTTTATAGAGGGGTGGGTCCCACTTGCCATGTGACGTGTGCCCGATGGACCCCGGTCTTAAATTTTGAGTTTGGTGCCCTGATAGAATAATTTTTCCTACTTAAACCCTTGTTTTCAACCATATAATCATATAGTTTGAGTGGGTTGTTGACACATAAATACTTGACATTTCAAAAGTGTTTCTTAGGGGGAGAATGACTTCCAGCGCCGATATTTGTTGTGTGATGAAAAAATTGGCAAGACGTGAGTTTATTTGGTTTAGTGCTATATTAAATGAACAAAAAATTGTTTGTTTAGAAATACAAGCTAGTAGTCTTTGTCCAATGGTTTAACTTAATAGGTTGAAAACGAAATTATCCATTAATGCATTTAGTTTTTTAACTCGATTTTCAACTTGTTGTTTAAGACTTTGTTTAGTTTTAAATAGGGTTGTTAACGAATGGCCAGCTTAAAATCAGCTCAGGAGATAGTTTGGATCAAAATTGGCTCATGGTTCCTTATGTTCGATTTCAAGTCAGCTCAGCTCGAAATTAAATCAAGCTCAATTCGGCTTGAAATGGAAATGAGCTGGCTCAAATTTGAGTTGTTTGGATTCGTTCTAGCTCGAAATTGGTTTGATCTGGCTTGAAATTGAAACAAGATGACTTAACTTGAGCTATTTGGATATGCTTCTGCTCGAAATTGGCTTGTAACACATTATATATGATTTCATTTAGCATTATATATAATCTATGTATATATAAAAAATAAATTAAGCCCCCTTGATGTATTTCAAGCGATCGGAATATGACTCAAAAGTAGCTTGAAAAAAATTTGATCCAATGTTTTGGCTCATAGCTCGGCTCTCTTATTTCAATCAGAACTCGAACTGAGCTAAATTTTGAATCAATTTTCAAGCGATTAACCCATCGAGCAAAATCCACACCTCTATTTTTCAGGATTTAAGATCTTACATTCATACTCATAGGGTTTTACGTATTTAATTTTGGCAAGCTATATTCACCTAACATTACGTAAATTGCATATTTAATGGTACTTCAGTTGTGTGTGCTTTAGTTGGAAGTGGAATGTAGAATTATTTCTGTTAACTGAATTGCATTTTAAATGCCACGAAAGAAAGCAACCTTATTTCCAAGTGGATGTTTATGTCTATGGTAAGCATTCATGAATAATAAAAAAAAAAAAATGTTATAGTCATATAATGTGAAGAAGATGCATCAATACATGAGACAAATATAAAGATGCAGTTCACTGGATGTGAGTTGAGTCGTGTTGATTGTCAGATAAGTGATAAGTGATGAAAATTTTATTTCATGTTATTTGAACTACATGTCTTTTTAGTCATTTATTATACGCGTACATAGCACACGATTATTATGTATTTACATATCTAAAAACTAAACATTCATATTTACATGCATAGCGTTCAAATCTCTATCATCACAACAAAGATATCACGATCAGAGGGCTTAATGACACCACAGTGCTACAAATGTAAATATCAAATTTTGGGTGTAAGATATAAATTATCATAATAAAACGCCTTATCCACAACTTTCTAATATATGTCATTACAAACCAACCATACAATTCGTATGCATTTATATATTAATTCAAGTCATTAATATATGCAAAAAAATGATGGATGGAAAATATAGTCATGAGATAAATAATATAAAATCACTTGTTATTAAACATAAAAAAAAATTTTTTTAAGCATTTTTAGTAATCTAATGATAGAACATATGAGCTAATGCCTGAGCTGGCTTGACTTTCCCCCAATCACGGTTTACTTATTCATATTAAAATAATAATAAAATATGTACATTTGATCATAAAACTAATTATGAATCCTAATTTGTTGTTTGTAAGAAAATGACTTATTTTAAGATAGGGGCATATAAAATTAAGTGATTATTTGTATATTAAATTCAACTTAAAAGAAATTTAAAAAATAAAAAAATATAAAATAAATAAATAAAAATATGAGCTAGATTGCAATATTTTTAGCCCGGATATATTTAATATAAAATATGTATTGATACGGCATCAACAAATTTTTATCATCTGAAATCAACATATATTACCATTCCTTCTATAAAAGTATACAATAACTTTATAAATTTCTTATAAAGTTGAAAGGCCGCATGATGGAAAAATATTACATGCAAATAAATCTTCACATATGAATGAGTATATTAAAGTGTAATCAAAATGTACTCGGGATATAATTCTGTTTGGGGCAGCTTGTGCGTTTCAGGATAAACAACTTATCCTGAAATGCGGCCTGCAGGTCCGGCCTATCCTGAAATGCGGCCTGCAGGTCGACCGCAGGGGTCGACCTGCGGCTTGCGTTTAGTGTAAAAAACACAAACGTGACAGACATCGTTTTCAAAAACGCGCAAACCAAACGGTTAGACGGTGTTTTTAAAAACACTATCACACTTATAAGCTGCCCCAAACGGGCCCTTAATGTACTTCAATCCGCACGTACTGATTACACATAATATTCTCACACATGAGACCCATAAGCAAATCGCTTATAGAATTGACATAATATTTCTCGTAAAATTAAAAGAAAAATGATCGTACAGTTAATTACAAATATAATATGATCATTCGAAAATGTGCCCCTTGAAAACACATTTTATTAAATTCTGATAAGATTATTTTCATGTAACTATCATGAAAAAGAAGGGATAAAACGATATATGTTTTTGTGTGTATAATAATGAATAAAATTAGGTGCATTTACATACATACCAACCAATTCTTCTGTTTTTACATATCTAACACCTATACTTTTACAATTAAACCACAAATCTATCCTATCACATAAAAAATATATATAAGAATTGTATGGAATGCATGAAAATACCCCTATTTTTTATGAAAAGTTTATTTCAAAAGAAACACAATCATATGTGATAATACAATAAGATTGTCCTCAAATTGTACTGTAATGTCATCATGCTACAATGTGTTTGTTTGTTGAAATTTACAAGCATGAAAGCCAGATGGGAGAATAGAAAGGAGTAAAATGAAAGTATAATTACCTTAATCCTTACAAAGGGGTAAAATGAAAATATATTTACCTTAATCCTTACAAAAATTTCAGCTAATAAGACCAATCATGCAAATTGAGTTCAGTAAACATCTGTTCTTACAGATTCACCCTTTTTATCATTCTACTGTGTCAATCTAAGAAATGCTAGGTTCCAATATCTTAATTAAATAATCCAAACATAAATCTCATCAAAATCTCATTTACAACTCTGCCAATCAAAGCAGTAATGTGAGGTTTTAAAAAAATGCATTTTATCAATAGTTTCAGAAACAATGCTGAATTAATTTCTCATTTCCAACATAAAAAGTACATAATTAATGGTAAAATATAATGCACCGTTAGCCTGGTTGAGATTTTAAACCAGCGACTGCACACATCTATTCCTTTGATGTTATAACTAGTAAGCCCAACGCACCAATCAGCAAGTACTGCGAATGAAGAAAGGATCAATATAAAATATAGGAGGAAGAGGTTTTTTATAAAGTTTAATAATTAGTGGTTGAAATATAATTTAGTATATAAGACTTGTTTGGTATTTTTCTATGTTTTTAAGGGTAATTTGTTATTTCCCACGAGGTTTGTTTCTATAAATAGTGTCCAAAATTTTGTCCGGATGATAGAATAAAAAAAGGCATTCATACACGTTGGATGTTGATTCATTCATTTTCCTTCCTAGGGTTTGTTTTTGTCTTCTCCCCTTCTCCCCTTCTCCCCTTCTCCCCTTTTATCCTTCCTTCTATGGTATACATTCTTATAAACTTCGCAATCTTCTTCTCTTTATCTCCCTATTTCTCTTCATCAAATTCTTCCATTCTCAATAATCAAAATATCAAAAATCCGCCACAATATCTACATTCGCTTCCCCACTAATGTCAACGTGCCAAGTTGCTTTTTAACAATCAAGCTACAAAACGGTAAGCTGTATATAACTTTCTACTTGCATTAACTTTCAGACCACCGTCACAATTCTGTTTGGGGAATTGATTTCTTATTATGTTTTAAAAATTTTTGTGGCGAGAAGTTATTTTTGCAATCAAATCGGTTTGAGTGTGATGGTTATAAAAAATAGTTGCTTAATTTTTTGGAAAAAATAAATATGTATAATTCCTAACACATATTTTAGAAGACACTCAAGTAACTTTCTCAAGAAACCATACCTTAATAATTGGCTTTTCAGTCAAGGTGATGGTAACCCAACCAACATATGGTAAAAACCTATCATAATAACTCAACTCAGGTTAAATTAAAACTGCAATATGCAAAGTTAGTTTCAACCAATTGGCTCTTACCCTACTGCCCGCCCCATTATATGATGCTGCTGAAGCCAGAGCTGCCCGTGAGCATATAGAGCTCTGTCATCCCCAGAATTGTTATCACCTGCAAAGTTGTTTAAATTTTTATGGCAAAAGCAAAGGCATGGTGCAAGTTGTTTCTATATAGCATGTTTAGATTTGGATGAGCATTTGATTTTAATGGCTTCACAAACATTTGTAGCAGAGATCCGATGTCACTAAAAATTACATGCACATTCATGGTTAGAGTAAAAGTAAAATCACGTCAAGATACGGGCAACATATCAAAATACACATGAACAAGTAGAGTGCGAAAATAGTTCTCTTTCTATTTACATGGGACATGGGGCCATTTTAGTCTCAAAGTCTACAAAATTGTTAAATTATTCTCTAAACTCTGTAAATTAGAGATGAAATAGTTTCAGGGACTAAAATAAATGACTGCAAAGAGCCAAGGGATCATTTTGACACTTTCCAAGTACTTCAACAATCTCTCACACTTGCATGTGCAAAGATATAAAAGATGCATTGCAAATAGGAATACAAATCAATTAGGAAAAGCATATAGTAAGAATCAGTCATTTTAATTCCATCTTGCTGAAGTCAAAGCATCCTGGAATATTTGTTGAATGAGCACGTGCCCGAGGCATGGAATTTCTCTTTAAAAAGACTCAGATTTGGTCATCAATGAAGAATAATTTTGCATATCAATGTTCATATAACAAATGTGTGCCACATTCTGAAGAATTATAGAACATAATTAGTGTGCTGACTGTTAGAACCTATCTTCTATTAATAACTTTTCCTTTTTTAAAAGAAAACTACCAGATTGTAGGATTTGAACCCTGATTTTAAAATTTAAATGATTGTTGGGATTCTTACTATATGAATCAATATTTTTGACAGCAAACAAAAGGAAGAGCAACAAAATTTTTATGCAATTTGCAAGTTCACAAATGTCTATTTTAAGAAAAATGCTGACGAATAAAAAGCCTTTAGCTCCCATATAGTACAGGAGAAGATAAATAAGAAAATCATTTTTCAAATATTATTTTCCACTTCATAAACTAACTAGACATCCTCAATAGATTTTAACTGGCTCTTCTAAAAGAAATGAAATTTGCAATTTTAATACCTTTTGTGAGAACATCCACTTCTCCAGTATCTTGTCGCTGATGTATCTATATTTGAACAGAAGCATGTAAAAATTTTAAAACATCAATGTGACAGCATGATTTTTCCTTCGAAAGAAGAACCGACATATATATCATCCAACAGGAAAATTTAGAGCAAAAAAATATTAGAACACAAATAGGAACTCATGCATTACTAACCATGGCAATTCGGCAAGAAAAAAAATCAGGTTTTACTCCCAAGGTTCAAACGGATGGGTAAATGAGCTAATGACAATAAAAATATGAGGCATGCAAAACTGGCCAAAGTCAAAAGATCTGTGCATTTGGATAAAAACCTCTAGTACCAAGCAAGTTTCAACAGGCCCAGAGGACCAGAAATATAAATACTAGATTTATAAGATCTGGATAACAAGCAATCGGCCCCATATTATCTAAAATGGTCTATCTTGGTTCAATGAAAATTACGAAATAAATAAACCTGACATTGGAAATCATCGGATTTCATGTATAAATAAACCTGACATTGGAAATCATTGGATTTCATGTATACCAGAGGCCTTAAACATTGGAAATCTTGGGTCTTAGAATTCATGTATACGAACCGACCAAAGACAAGACGTGTTATTTAATTACGAACCCTAGTTCATACTTGAATTTAACACCCTAGAAATGTTTCAAATGGAACGGCAAAGAGTAGACGAAGCTGATGTCAAGTGGGGATTTTTTTTTCTTTTTGCTTGAATTTTTTGTTTGTCCCTTGTACAGAGATATTTTTTTGTGTCAACAGTAGAGGGAAAGGAAAGACATTCTATTGGTAGTTGGTTTGTGGGCCCAACCCTGCATTTTTTTGTAAGCTTTATTCTGTTAAACCAATGGTACGTAGATAAGAGAAGCTTTATTATTTGGAGCACTGGCTGTCAAAAAAGAACGTTGTTTGTCAACAACGCAAGTTCGGGTTGTTTAGTAGCTCGTGTTGGATTTGTTCGTTAAACAAGCAAACAGAACACGAGTGTTTATTTTGAGTTTGATATGTAAACAAGTTGAACACTTCGATCATGTTTGGCTTGCTTTAGCTTGAACAAATTAGTTAATTAAATAAATAATAAGTTTAAAACATTTTTATATTAATTTTTATGTTTCATTAAAAATACTAAAAAATATATTATTTTTTAAATCTTTTGAGCTAAATTCAAGTTGAATAACAGCTGTAAATGGACAAATAAACTTTAATCGAGTCGAACACATATACTATTCAAGAGTTATTAGAACACAAGCCAATTTTGAACAAAAAAAATTTCGTATAAGCCAAAATCGAACAAACATTCAAATCATTCAAGCTCAAATCATTTAAACCGCTATTTGAGCCTTGATGTGCTTATCAATGATATCAAGGAGTAGGCATTAATATTAGTTTTTGATTTTGTTGGGAACAGCTCAAGTGGGGTTAAGACTCAAACTCCTTTAAAGAACAACATCTGGTGGCTCATCTAAGGTTTTTTTATTTCAACAGGGAATGCAAAATTCGGAGGGAACACCTCAAATGTACTTTAATAGACATGAGGTTGACTTGATTATGACTCAAACTTGTAAGGCTAATCTAATTATATTTGGTTTAGCTTAGACAACCAAACATATTATATTTCTACCATGTTTAGATGTGCATCGAGGTCTTTATCAAGTTGGCATGTAAATTTAGGAAGCAATAGTTTCATCAGAATGGATCTTTATAATTTTTACCAACTGAAAAGCTAGTCCCCAACTAGGGTGATTGGACGATGTGGGGGCAACCTAGCATGTATTTTGAAGCAACATCAATCAGGATCAATTGGAGCGAGCTGGTCACCGTGAATTATCTTAAATAACAAAACATGCATTTTGCCAATCTTCTCTTATGTGGTCTTGTTATTTTCCATTTCCCCTTTTTCGCTTAATTTGAGTTTGCTTTAAATTTGTGCAAAAATGAATTTTAAGAATATTTTAAATCCCTTATGTACATTTTAGAAAAAAAATTTAGCCTTTGAAGAAGCCTACGATACTTTTGTAAAATTTTAAGATTGATAATGTTTTTTATAAATCAAATGAAAGATTGGCACCTTATATAATTTGATTATAATCTATGCATTATTGAAATCAAACTCTTACTTTTCCTTTCAAATTTTGATTCAGCCAAAACTGAACTGAATAAATCAAACTATATTACCGTTTGATTCTATCTATGACTATGTTAGTTTGACTCCGCCTATAATTCAGAGTCACATGGCAAGGAGTGGCCTGGTGGGTCCCACTTGATGATGTGGAAGGTGGCAACAAGTTTGTTATGTAGTGATGAAGTGAACTTAATGAAAGATTGGCACCGCTCATACTAAGTTTGATGAGTAGCATCACTTTAATTAATACATGTTTTGATCCAGTTGGTCACATTTCAACGGCAAAAGATATCACACCAAATGTTGATTATCTATCATTCGCACATATAACTAGATCGGGTGTAGTTTACATCTTCTTCCACATGACTACATAGCAATGGGAGCACTTTATCTTAAGGGTGTATAGCAACAAGTCTTGTGTGTGTGATTATGCATGGCTCAAACCATATTTATATTTAATTGTGCATAATTATGTGCTTGTCCTGCATAGCATACATATGTCAAATCTGCTCTTGATCCTAAACTCATGTTATTACACATCAATTATGCGTGTGGCATATTTTTTGGATGGTGGCACAATTTTGTACAAGGAATCTCAAGCTTACCCGAGGTAGGCTCGGAAGAAATCAGGGGAGTTAATCTCAACCTCCTTATCAATTCAACAAAGACTCAGCTCATTCTCCATCAACGCTTCAATGATAGCTAAGGCTTTTTTTTGCCAAGGCTCAAACTGGTGTTTTTCACATTATTAGAACTAGATGTTATTCGAGTTTATTTATCTAAATCCTAGCCAACAACAGAAGAAAGCAATCATGGTTGGAATGGTGAACCAACCATCTTACAGGTTAACATCCATTGCAAAATTTATAACTATTGTGATAAACAAAGTCACAAAGCATTTTTAAGTCAATGAAAGGACAGATCACACCTCATTAGATAAAGAACATAAAATCCGATGTAGAGGCCAACATAATTAAAACTATAGTGATTAATAGTCTACAAAGAAAACAAAGATGTAAATTGTTTATTGGCATAAATAATCAGTTCTATCAAAATAGAAAAGAGAGAGCAGGAAATAAATAAAGCAGGAAAGTCAATCCCAAACAAAGAAGTTAACATCAAAGAATCTAAGAAGAAATTAGAGTGTGCGCATGGAAAACCATAAAGAATATAACAAAGAAAAACTAGATGATCAAACATTATCAGATCCACATGTCCCCAGCAAACAATGATAATTGTCACAAACTCAAAATCTTATAAAAAAGTATCTCCTTTATGTAATGCCAACATGACACCAAGCACTCTCATCCACTTGACAATTTCCAAGATGCTAAGAGCAAAAGAAGCAGATAGATGGACTTCATTTTAACCAAGTGATGTCTGAATGCTATTCATGTCAATTTCAAACTTAAAAGGTATTGAAAAATGATGCCAAGTACGAAAACAGGTATTTAGAGGAAGAAGAACCTAAGAAATTCAGATGAGGAATAACGTGAAAACCATCACATAATCAAATGTTAACAGATAGTAAGTTAAGAGAAGCAATTCACAATTACTCATATTGCTTTCTTAATAAACCATGGTAAACATTTAAGAAGTCAAAATGACAAATTGTTTACTAATACTCAAAGGTGACAGTAAAATCAAAACGTAAACATAAAATAGTTTAAGCACCTTACCTAAAATTTTAGAAAGCATGAAATCATTGTTCACGTAAAGTTGACATTTCGTATAAAACAGGGAAGAGATACCTTGATGACCCGATGAACTATTGGAATTTCACGCCCCTGCAATGTTTAAATCATAAGATTTGCATTAATGAAGTTGTAAAACATATTAAAGTGAGAGCCATAGAGATACAAGGGGTACAGCACCCCTTATAAATATAACTATGCGACCATGACTACTTCATAATGAGATTTCCAAAGATCATTAAATTGTGGCATCTCAAAGTCTTTATCAGTCACTAAACTACCAGATAAAAACTTGTTAAATATTTGAATTTCCCAATATATAATACATCTGTTCAACTGATGAATTCAGACATAAGAATGTCCGGTAACCCAACCAACAACGAACAATGAGACAATGCTTATTCTAATCATTGTGTTTGGCACTCACCACAACAGAATTTGACACGACACAATTCTTCTTACAGTCCATCTTATAGCCAATAATGAGAACAAAAAACTATAACATTCAGTTCAAGCACTTAAACTTCCTTCATTTCACTCAGTCATGTGACAAGCACACATTTATGGTTAAAGCAATGTAAATCAGTTTATTAATCTAACAAATTGTAGCGGCCATATAAAAGTAAAATAGTTAAAAACTTCAAAAAGATAGTTATCTCTGCAAATACACAGGCACATTTATGCATTTGCATTTGGATAGGTAAACAAAATGTTACGTCTATGCCAGTCTAAGGGCAAGTTTATTCTTTGTATGCCTAAGGGCAATTATTCTTTTATTATTATTATTGATGGGAATAAATAGGGTTAGGTTTATGCATGAGATTGAGTTGTGAGTCTTAGGTTAAGTCTTGAGAGAGATTTCCTACCTTTCGAATGGTAGAAATTTGGAAAGAACACCTACCTCTCAAATTGTAGAGTGTTTATCTTTTTTATCTATATGAATTGTTTGGATTATTGAAGAAAATATTCGTATTTGCCTTAATTATTATGAAAATCCATGCCAATTTCTACGACAAATTGTAACACAAAAGTCTATTGGTGGGTGCACATATCTGCACATAAACAACTGGATAGTTGAATTAGTGAAACATAATTTAACATGAAAACAATTCTATGGATAAATGTTTACCAAAGGATAATATAGTTCACTTGTTACATGATGATGGCAATGTGCTATGTACATGGACCCTGTTTTCAACCTACTCCTCAGCAAAACTTAATATTGCAGGAATGTTAAATCTACATACAGCATACTTCTCATAGAAAAAAACAACGGCCAAACAAATAGAATCTAAAACAAAATTTAACGAACAATGGAATGCAGCTACTGCAATATTCTAAACAAGCCACAAATCCAGATGCCATCAAAGGAACACAAGCAGCATTTCCCTATTATTATTGCCTAACATAAACATTATCAACAAATCTAAAATGCTAATGTAATTAAGAATGTAGTTAAAAGTTCTTTTCGTCGGTCATGACTTACATCAACATTAAATACAACTATGTCTCCTGTACGAATAGTATCTTTTCTCATGTATAAGAAAAGAATGTCCCCCTACAGTTGACAAATAAAAATGGAGTTGTTACGAAAGAATCACATAGCATTAGGATATCAAAGAAGCATGTAAAACAATCAGCAAACAAACAAATGCAAATAGCAAAATAAAAATAAAAATAAAAATAAAAATAAGGAGAAAAAAGAAGAAAAAAAAAAGCATTTTGGCTGCTCTTACACCAATGGCTGTTCTTAAATAACGGCATAAGAAAAGTTCCAAAACAAAAGATACTTCTTAAATTTAAAAATGTCCATGAGGTATCTACAAAGATTCCAAAATCACCTCTATAGCAAAATACACATCTTTCTCTCCAGAATAATAATCTAATACTTCAATTTATGGATTTGTTGATATACAACATCAAGCAAATCCTACCAACAATATCCTCTGAAAGTAAATTAGCTTGAAACGCACTCAACAGAAATTGAAACTGCAAGATACTCTTTTCAGCACTTGAAGCTTCTTCAATTGAAGAATGTTCTTCAAAAGATCAATCACACATCATATTTCCAATGCTTCTATGAGGTCATTTTGACGTTAAGCTCTTGAATTTTTGAAGCAGTAATTGTTGATAAGGGATCAACACACTAAACATTTGCAATTTTAATTTTCAACAAATAATTCAATTTATTAACTGATGCAATTTAATTGATATTCGAGCGCTGCAAGCTTCATACCATATTTATTCAGTGAGGACAAAGAGCCATGGGCTCATGCAAGAGTTCGGTCAGCCAAAAGCATTAAAATTGGCTCAGGCTACCAAGGCCACTTCGGGCAAAAAAATTCATTCCTCCTTGATTTGGGGGATCTTCTTTAAACACACTTGATACAAGAGTAAGATGGCATCATGTGTGTGTTTCATTCACATTCTATTTGTTAACTTTGCAAATGGGTCTCATGTTCATATATCCAACTTTGCAAAGATGTTAACAAACAATTGGATGATTAATTTTTAGTTTAAAACTTATTTTTTTGCAAGATATCTTTGCTAATTAAGGACTATACAAGTAACAAAATTGTCAAGGAAATTGTGATTTATTTTATGCATTTATGGTTGTGTTTTTATCACTGAGGAATTTGCATGCCTATTCCTTAATGTTTATGCATTAGCAAGTAATTCTTAACTAGAAAGACTTCTTATCAAACTCATTACCTGTAATTTTTACAGGTTCAACACGTCTTATAGGTGGGCTATCCATAGAACAACAATAACATCAGTACCAGCAGCCATGCAATTTTTTTGTTGTAATACATTTTTCCAAATCCATTGATTAGGAACTTCCAAAAATTCTTGTTTCAAACTTGTTTCATTTACTCTCTAACAAATAATCCCTATTATACCATACAACTACATATTTTGAATTCTCGTGTCATGCAAAACAAAAACTGTCACAATATTATTTATCCAGGCCTTTAAAAAAATTCTTATTATATAAAAAGCTAAATTTTGGTGAAACACAAAATTATATCGTATTAATAAAATTCTTACAATTCTGTCACAATTTTTTTTTAGGAAGACGTGCATATATACCACTCAATTGTTATGTATTTACATATGTAAAACCTAAACTTAGATTTATATATATATATATGTCATCATAGCTATATATGACAAGGTGTATTTCAGTTTTTAAAAGTTAAAATAGTGGTATTTCTAACAATCATATGCCACATATTTCCTTAAATCATCACGCAAACAATGGTCCAAGAACAGCAAACACTAGAAAAGAAATAGATAATTTTTCACTCACCCTCTTAAACCCAGGTTCCATGCTGCCAGAAAGAACCACAACAACAGGAGACTCACTCCCAGTAACAAAAATAAGCCCCTTCCATATTATCAGCGCCGATGCAACAATCATACCTGGAACAAATACACACAGAAACCAATACCATCAGCAATAAATATAGCAATTCAAACTCAGAAAAGGAAAATTATAACACCAGCACGCGTTTTGTTGTTTGGAACGGGGATGATGAACACAAAACCTACTGAAAGACAATAAAACCTAAAAAGCCCCGATCTAGCTTCAAAGATAACCGCAAAAGCGCAGGAGGAGAGGGAATGGGAATAACCGAGGCTGACGGCTTGCGAGATGACAAGCCGGAACCGAATAGAGCGGATTGATTCCAAGCTTTCGCCGAACCACCCCATTATTCTTCTGCGCCTCTCTCTCTCTCTCTCTCTCTCTCTCTCGCCGGCGCCGCGGGCCTTCACTGTGGATTCAAATTCTCTAGTATTAACTATTATGAGCCATTAGTTAGTTAATACCCTCGTTCTGTTTGAAAAAAATTGTGTACGTAAGAGGTACAGTTCCACCTTCTGCTACAGGTACGTTGTATAGAGGGGTGTAAAGCTCGTGTTCGGCTCGTTTATATTTAGAGCTTAAAAATTGTGTTCGTGTTCGGCTCGTTTGCTTAACGAGCCGAACAAAAATTATTCACGAAAAATTATTCACGAACAAAGAGTCCTTTTAACAATCCTAATAATGTAGTCATAAAACATAAGACAATAAGAATTTGAACAAGATTTAAAAATTATTATTTATATTAAAACATCATTTAAATCTAATTTAATAATTTTTATTCTATTTTCTTGATCAATATTCTAATTGATTATAAATTTTTGTAGTCTTGTAGTCAATTAGATTTTTTAAAAATACTACTTTATACTATTCGGCTCGTTAACTTATCGAACAAAATTAACCAGTCGAACACGAGTTTCTTAACGAGTCGAGCACGAGCTGTTCGCAAACAACGAGTCGTTTTCACAGCCCTAGTTGTCTACGCGTTATATCCTCTGTAATCAATCTGTCTATAACATACCTGTAACCTACAAATATATGAAAACAGAAACGTAGAACTTAATAGAAGCTACAGGTAGGTAGGTTATATGTCGGTTACATGGATGTTATAGAGGACATAACGCAAATAAAACTATCATGTACCCTCTGTATAACCCTGATGTTTATACCGCACAATTCTTATGTATTTCATATCTAACATCTGATTTTTTTTTTCTTACAACCATAACGAATAATTTATAAACATCAAATTAAAATACGACTAATTTTTAATTTTTAAATGTGAAATAAAAACTTTATTGGTGAGTATTCATAATCAAATTATGATAAAAACATTTTCTTCATGAGTTAATGACACCAAAATATATAACAGAAAGATACAATTACATTTTTCTTGGAATGATACTTGAGAAGACATACAATTACTATATAATTTATAAAATTTAGCTTTTTTATCTTATCACAACTAATTTTTTTGTCTTACATAGCTATAAACTGATTATAATTTAAACATAATATTATAACTATATAGATTTTGTGATGAATCCATTTGATAACGATCATTAAGTAATGCCTGTTCATACTCCATTGGATAACTTTGATCCAACAACCTTTACATACTAATTTGTGAATGTTTAGATTCACAAATGAGTTGGACCAATTAATTTAAATTATAAAATATAGAAAATTAACCCATGAATTCTTGAATCCAACTAAAGCAAACAAATAAATTTTTTATCCAATATAAATTGAAATAAACTTTAGATTTGCTTGGTCAATTTGGTTCATGTTTGGATGAACTAAGTTAATTTTCTTAACTATTTTGTATAAACACAATTTTATGTCATTTAGGTTTATAGTTTTATTTATTTAACATCTAAACACTATAACTTAATCTCTTGGCTTAATGGGATTTATAAAATAAAAAATTAGACCAATTACCAAACAATCAAATAAATTTAAGTTTATAATCAATCACCAATCTAACACTATAACAACCAAAACATTATCCAAATAATACACCATCACACAATCATAGCTCATCAGTGTGCTAGTGAATAAGAGATTTGCCATGCACTTTCTTGTGCCCACACTTCTATGGATTTCCATGGAGGTCTATGAATAAGCACTCCTCTCCATCACACAATTATGTAGAATTTTCTGTCAAAACTCCAGACACAGTTCTACGTGCGAACTTCAATAATATATCGTCACGTATGCTACATCGCGAAAATTATTTCGAGATTATTGAACTGAAACCACAAAGGTTATTTCAGAGTTATTGAAAAGAAACTCATATATTACACTTCAATAATCCCAAAATAGCATCGCATAGATTATATTGCGATTATCGAAGTGAAATATATTGATTTCTCTTCAATAATCCCAAAATAAGATCAGCAGTATTATTTCAGGATTATTGAAGTAAATATATATATTTCTTTTCAATAACCCCGAAATAATATTCGTGGTTCAGTGCTAACCTCCATAGTTTCACTTCAATAACCCCAAAATACTATCCGTGATATAATACATGTGCCGCACGTCAGTCCAAACAGAAAATTTTCCCATTATGTAGGAAGGCATCTAGCACACATAATACTACCACCGCCTACTCATTTTGGTGCTTTAAACAAATGCATGAAAAGGTGTACTTGTGTTAACTTTGATGCGATGCTACATATTTGAGTGATATGTATAAATATGAAATTTTAGGTGTGAGATGTGTTAATACATAAGAATTGTGTGCTACGTATGTATGCAAATGCCCCTAAAGTTTTCAGATCAATCAGATGTTCAGCTGCTGCTAAAAGCCATGCACATTATGTTTTGCACATCAATTAAATGCCAGATTTGAAAATTTTAACATGTGAATATTAAATAAGAACGGTCATAAATACCCACTCATTTCAACAAAAAAGAAATATACAACGAAAATCTGGGGGGGTTCAGAGCCCATTTCGGAAGTCAGATGGGGCTAATTTTTAATAATATAATAGATATAAAATATACAAATCTTGGGTAAGCAACCTAAATGAAGAGCAAAACAAGCTGCAGCGTAGAGCTTCCTCTTACATCAAATGCTCATGCATCATCCACATGTACATTCATGCCTGCTTCCCTTCCCCAATAATTCGGGTTCTCCTTTCCTTCACATCATGATACTGTGCGGCCATAACAAACAGAAGCGAGATACAGATTCTTTGCCCATTTGTCCTGCGGAGCACAAATATAGAATAGAATAAATGAAATAATTGAATTATATCGCATGTGCTCTTTCTAATGGCTGCATGGATAATTGATTATGATGCAGTTTACTTCAGAATAAAAAGCACACAAATGTTAATATCATAAGGTCGTGCTTGACTGCTGCCTGAATTTACATTAAGCAAGATTTATCAAATCAAGTAAATCTGAATGTCAGTGCAACAAAGATGAACTTGCGAGCAACGACAAGATGAAATTCTTAATCGGATTTATGTCCGAAATGAGATGGAATGTGGGAAAAAAGAGACTGAAAATTTTCATTTTACCGGAGAACTGGATTTATTTATATAAATATTTTTTATGTTAGCTGGATTTACACTAAATCCTCTTTAAATCATGCTTAATCAACTACTAAGAAAAAAAGAGGCCAAGGCTACTCTCTACTCAAGTAATCAAAGAGGTTGAAATTTACCTTGACATGGGCGCTTGGAAAAGTTGAGGTCCTCAGGGTCTCCTGAGTTTCATCACCAAGCTTGCGCTTGGGTACACTTAGAATAAGAGCAGCCTGATCCGAAGTTGCTGCCATCGATGTGATACGATAACCGTTGTCCCAACGCCTATGGATGCCCTCGCTGGGATACAAGAAGTCGAGTTCAACAACCTGTTGAGAATAAACAGCATAGGAAAAAACGTTAGGCATGAGGGGAACCTGATTTTCTCAGAGTAACGTAATGGAAAGTAGATAAAAAGTTTTTATTTTTTTTTTTCAGCACAGGAATGGAAAATTTTAAACATTAATAAAAGAAGAATTTTATTTGGACAAAAATATTTTAAAAACCTAAATTTACACTGAAGGACTGGCTATACTGCTACTTATCTAAAATCAGTAACTAATTACCTGGTCGCTGAAGCCGGCATTTCTTGACATTACAACTCCCCATCGGGTCCCTGCTGTTGCCATTGATGTAACATGAAATCCTTCTTTCCACTTCTTGCTTATCCACTTGAAGGGAAAAAATTCACTTACTTTATAGGACTGCTGTGTATACTGTGTACCTGGAATGTTTCAGTTGAAGCTTCAGATTAAGCACACACAGAATAGAATTCCAGAATGTAATGCAGAGAGAATGCAACAACAGCAGAAACAATCATCATAAACTGCAAGACAAGCTGATGGTTTGAAAGTAATTCAAAATAACGTGTATATGTAATTTTATAGCAACATATTTAGGATAGTCGAAGGATCCGATTGCAAATTTACCTAGCTGAATGGTTTCCAAGCTCAGATTATGGCTATTGACATGCATCGCCGTAAGCAAAATGTTCAATATTTATTTATCTATCTGGGAAAATTTATATAAATGCCACCAAACTTGGGAGTATAATCTAAAACCCACCAGAAATAAATGAACCACCAAACCCATAAATTTTAGTGTGCCGCAATCAAAATGTTGGAAAGAATGTTGGAAATTTAAAGAAAACGAGAATATCATTTGTAATTTTGTTGTGAATTTGATGTTCGAATGGAATTAAGAAAGATGGTAGGATAAAAGCTCTGGAAGTGAACAAGATTGAGTGTTATATAGAATATTGAACCACCTTTATCATAGATATATGGGAATGCTACGCTAAATGGTCATGAAACAACTAATGCAGCAAAGGACAACCAAACAGTTCCAATATAAGAAATTAAATATAAAATAGGAAAGCAATTTAAGCAAAATGTAGAAGGAAAGCTCGGATTTTAAAATCTGTAAATTTCAAGAAAAGATGATTACACAGGACCAATACTCCATGGAGTTTCAAGCAGTCCAAAGAGATACTTCAGAAGGTCAATGGATGACCCAGTGCTGACTTTGTTGGGTCCATCTAGTGATGCATCAATGTGCTTATATTTGTTGTGGATATTTTAAACATAATGTAATCTTTTTATTGTGTAAACAGTTACAAGTAATAGTATTTGAAGTAATATTAATTTTTGTTTTATTGATTCCTCAATTTTTATGTGACACAAATTGAATTACTTTTAATTATAAAATGATTTATGATAAAAATATTAACATTAGTTGTTTATATTAAACATTTTATATTAATAACGTCTAAAATAAACATAGTGCATTTCATTTCATGTTCTATTTTTTACAATTATGCTGTGTTTTATTCCTATGCCAGTGTTTGCGATTAAGAACTGCGGGCAGCCTTTACAGCATAAAATTTTGAAAAATTTCCAGCCAGCACATTCGCTGCAACTAAGGGGTAGTAGCAAGTATTTACAAACTCAATTAGCAAGCACCAAGCAATTGAAAATAAAGCAATGATAGCATGGATATTTTACTTTATTTTATATTCCAAACTAATGAAATTAAAATGGTCCATATGTTTGAATGGAACTGTTAACTTTTTTTCTTTTTATTCCCATGCTTTAATACCACACATAAATTGGATGAGAAGCAGCAATGAAGAGTGTAACTTTTTTTAAAGGAAATAACATTAAAAAGTAGTGAGTGGGCATTCCACCTAGACTTGCTAATGCCCTCTCAGACTCCTCTTTTTAAAGGATTTATTTCAAGTTGTATTTTGAACTCAAGTCATGCATATCAGCTTTTTTGCCATCATTTACTCATAAAATTACCAAACATCACATCATTTTTTCTAACTAATCAGCCATTTATTTACCGTTATAAACGACTGATATCTATTATTATGCACATTTATTTTGGGCGATAACCTATTTTATAGGAATGCTACTTCAAAGAAAATTATTGATAAAAACAAAAAAAGTAATTGGACAGCCATCAACGAGCAAATCCTCCAAAATACCAATAAGAAAAACAATGATAATAACAATTCAAAGATGATTTTATACAACAAAGGCTCACAGGATAAGCGTTATGATATATATATATATATATATGAGGACATA